TTAACAAAAAAAAAATCACACATCATAGTCATACGAAAAATGAAAATTTAAAAAGTATCCTCATCATAGTCATACAAAAATGAAAATTAAAAAAATATCCACAACATAGTCATACGAAAAAAGAATTAAAATATGGTCTTCGACTCCGTTAAACAAGACAAAATTAAGTTTGTTGCAACACAATCTCATTCATTTAAAAATTTATAGGAGTAAAGCTCTCCTCTCAGGTGGAGCCTTTATAAATGCTACTCTCCATGCTTCGCTTTCAACCACTCGATCAACTGCTTTGCGGTACACTTCATTCTCCAATCCTACCATGTCATTCAATACATCCATTGCAGCCTCAACTGAGTATGGATCCTCATTCACTTTTGTAGTAGCGGAATTAGCATAATTATGGTGGCATTGGTTTTGTCTAATCTTAACCAAATCCTGAATGGCTTGACATGCCATTGCAATATCTGTATTCCTACTACCTCTTTTACACTTTGCATTTGGCGTCCTATCTTGTCTATGTTGTGCAGGACTGGGCGTCTCAACAGGATCAGATGCAAATAAATCTTCATTAAGCATATGCTCATCTTCTTTATATTCTTGTCTATGTAGTACAGGACTAGGCGTCTCAACAAGACTGTCAATATTATCACCATCTCCATCTGAAATTTGGTGTACCTCAGCATTTCCTATAACATTATCTCCACTTGCATAAACATCCCCAAATATCTCAACTAACTCTTCCCAATAAGGAAGGCCATTCTTCCGAAATTTCTCCCATTGGGGATTTTCCTGTACAAAAGATTTACCTAATTATGTTTAAGAAAATCAACAAATTTATAATAAATCATAGGGAACACTATGTTAAAAGTTACCTTAATGTGGACATCCCATAAAGATGCATCCTCGGTTGTAGTAGTTTTCAAAACGGTGTTCCAACCAAAACCAGATATGCTTAGTAATTTCTTGAAACTTGAATATTCTTGTCTAAGTTTATTCATCTTGTTTTTCTGTTGATTTAGTGTGTAATCAAGCGCTGTTTGTTTTGTAAATTCATCTTTAATGCTTTTTCATGCTTTCTTACTGAAAGTAGATGTTGTTCTATTCCTTTTTTTTACTTCCTCTACCAGCAAATTAACAAAAAGATGTGTGTTTTTATCAGTCCATTTTGCTACGAACCCTTCGGATGCCATACTCCTTGATGATAACATGTCAGAAAATAAACCATAACACCAAAAATTAGAAATGCACATACTCATCCTGAGAATAATAGTCTGATAAAAACATATTAGTCTGTCGTAGAAATACTAAGCATGAAATCAATTTGGTGGTTTGAAATATTTGAAATGTACATACTCAAAGACACAGTTGGTGGAAGAGTTCAAGTAGCTAGTCTTAAAGTCACCTCCACGAGATTATTGACTTTGGTTTCCTCTGACGCAAGCATGAGTGCCAAATCAATTAAAGTAAATCCATCTATAAGTCAAAGGGCTTCTTAACAAACATATTCAACTGACAGGATTGAGAGTAGAAAGTTAATACAGAGTGTAGCTTCTTATTATCTCAACTAACATGGTGCAGATTTAATATTTCTTTATCCTTTGTAATTAACAAGATTTAATACACAATTTAAACTCAATATGTTATTAGTAGTAGTTCTTCAATTAAATACATAGTGTAGATTCTTATTTTGTCTGTTACCCATTGTTAGTAGAGTTTATTAGTGAGTTTGCTCGTATATAATATTTTTGTAAATGGGTGGTTGTCATTTGGTTTGGCTGGAGGTTGCATGTATAAAGTTTTTAATTTGGTTGTTTGGTGAACCTTAAAGTAGTAGGAATCTACCTGGATAAAGTTTGGCAAGAAGGTCTATTACTTTAATAAAGGTGGTGATATAATTCTTTTCACGGAATTGACCTTAATGGAGGTTATTGGATGTCAAAATTGCCTTTTATCTATGCTTATTTGTTGATTCTGTTTCCTTGAAAAAATTTAGTTTACATCCACTATGTCATATCACGTTGTGTAATCTTTGTGCATTTGTTGTATACTAGTGGTGGTGGCATGTCCGAGGCACATGGTCATATGAGTGTATACTTTCCTTAGTTTTTTCACTGTGTTTGGAAGATTACCAAATCAAGCAGGATTTTGCCCCAGAAATTGAGGTTGTGTGTGAACTATACATCTAAAACAAATGTATGAGAAAAACTAACTCGGGTTCTTTTTTTTCTGTCCATTGATCATTGATGTAATTTTATAGGTACTCGAATTCAAGGGTGGGGTTCTGCAAACTCTGCAGCACTATGCTGATTTTATCCACATACTTTTTGGAACATTCTTTTAGCATTATCTATTATTAAGCCACAGTAGTCCTCAAATAAATTGCTCACCGTCAAAGGGCTTCTAGATGGCAGCCGCTATAAGATAAGGTAACCAGCAAACCATAAATCAGCAAGACGAAGAGGTAACAATTAACACGAAATAACAAAGGAAAAAGCTCAGGTAACCAGAACTTGAAATAACATGGCAGCCGCTACTTGTATATCGAGACCCTATACTATCAGCCTATGTAGCACCGCTACGACACGCGATACGCGATACGATACGACACTCCGACACGTCAATCCTAAAAAATTATGAATTTCGACACGTTGGGACACGTTTTAATATTAAATAATATTTTTAATTTATAGAGTGTATATTTCATTTAATATTTAATAATTTAACAAAAAAATGAAACTAAATTAATAATACCCATCAACACGTTATAAAGATGGAAGCTTTAATAAAAAAAAAAAAAGAACTGGGATGAGAGATATATAATATCAGATAGAGAAATCAAATCATACTAGAGAGATCAGAGACAAGGAGATACAACAAGAGCGTGATAGGAATTGACAACAATGATGCTGAGATGATCTCTTATCTACTTAAGGGAAAAAAGACAAAAAAATAAAATTGATATGATCAGGTGGAAGCTTTATTAATATATTTTAATTTTTTAAAAAATAATTTTTTTTAAATTTTTTTTTAAAAAAGAGTAAATACCTTTTTTAGTCCCTGGCAATAAAAAAAGACCAAATTAGTCCCTAAAATTATGAAAAAAGGGCCACATTAGTCCTTATGTCAACTCCTCCGTCACTAACGTGGCCCTTTTTACATACTGTCAGGGACCAATTTGGTCCTTTTTTATTGTCAGGGACTAAAAAGAATTTCGTAGATATTGCCAGGGACCAAAAATGGTGTTTACTCTTAAAAAAAATTACGAAAATGCCATTTGACCGTGTCGAACACGGTCAAATTCGCGTGTCGGAATGGTCAACGTGTTGGAAAAAGTTGACCGCGTGTTCGACACCATGTCGGAGCGTGTCGCCCTGTCGGACACGACTCTCCCTGTTTTTACAAGTATCCATGCTTCCTTGCTACCAGCGCAGGTAACCAGAACTGGTTTAACCAATCATACCCCACAGTCACAGTGCATACAATTAACAGTTCCCAAGCTCAATTGCAGAATTCAATGATAAGGAAAAATCATCAATTTGGAAATTCAAAAGCCCTAACCCCAATTTAAAAAATCCCAAAATTTGCAATTTCAAGTTATAATCACAGGTCATAAAAGAAGAAAAAATAAGTAACAAAATAAGCATTTACTCCTACCATTAACCCGAGATTCATCAAGACGAAGAGGTGAGGAGCATACCTGTTGTTCTTGTGTGAAAACTGATTCTCGTGAAGGAATAGAAAAAGACGTCGAAGGAGACGAAGAACTTCAGCCTTGAAAACTGATTCTCGTGAAAACTGAAGGGAGGGGTGATATGGTTGAAGGCCTGTGATGGTTGGTGTTCGTGTGTGAGTGTGTACGAAGAAGTGAGAGAGTGAGGGAAAACTTGGAATGGAGAAAATCGATTCTGTTTTTGTGCCCCAGATCAGAGATTCAGAAATTTCTCATCCATTTTTACCTAACGAGTTTCTCATCCATTTTTATTTCTGAGAATAGAAATTAAAAAAAACTCATTCCGGGAAGGTTGTCATGCACACCCTTAGTAGGCAGAGATAAAATTATCTCAAGCAGCTTAAGAAATGTTAAGCCCATATATATATATATATATATATATATATATATATATATATATATATATATATATACACATTTAAAATACTAAAGTAAAAGAAATAAGGGGGCAGTTATACCACCCTTAGTATTTGTTTGGTTATTGTTAGATTAATTCAAAATTAATGATAACCAAACATAATAGCAAGAATGATAAACCACCGCAAAGTGTGTAGTTTTTTAAAAACAAATATTAGTGTTTTTAGTTCCTATTTTTTAAAAGGGATTAATGTTTGTAGTTTTAAAGGATATGAAATTGTGTTATTTTAGTCAAAATTCCTATGTTTTATAATAAGAAAAAATCATAAATGAAGAAAATAATTTTTTTAATTTACACATTGAATAAAAAAATAATTTTACTAAAATGATTAGGGAGATGTTATATTTATTACCAAAATTTTTTAGAACTCTTAGTACTAAATTAATAACTGTTGATTTTCACTAATCTAATAATTATAATTTATTGAATATAATTATTAATTCATAATAAATTATAATTATTAGATCGACTGAAATCAACTATAAATAATGAGTTTGGTGTTTGTCATTTTAAATGACATAAGTTATGTCATTTTAGGAGAGAGATAGACACAGAAAAACAGAAATCATGGGAGAGAGAAAGTGAGTGGTCTTTTTTAATTTAAAATTCAAATTCTCTGTGTCTGTATCTCTCTTAAAATGACATAACTTTCTGTCATTTAAAATGACATAACTTTCTGTCATTTAAAATGACAAACACTTTTCTCATAAATAATTTAATAATAAAAGTTATAAAATTTTTTAATACCTCCAAATAATTATCCTTCGAAATACACAATTTTTTTTTAAGATATGAAGATACCTTGACGCAGAAATGCTTCATTATTAGTGGCAAAACACTTCGGCAAGAGTTTAGGCACATAGACGGGCCCAAAATTGCAGTGGAGCGCGGCAACATATTAACAATCGTACGGATCCATCTCTTCTCTTCTCTTCTGTGCGACTTGCCCTTCGAACCCGAAGCTATAGGCACAATCTTCGAAACGCTGCGTTCGTTGTCGTACAAGGTACTTAACTTCATCATTCTCATGCTTCATTGCGTTTCTTCTCATCCTTGTTTGAAATATGATGCGACAATAGCTTTAGCCTTTTTGAATTCTTCTATTTCAAGCCCCTCGCAAAAATGGCAGCAGGTTAGGGTTCCATGATTTGGGTTTTTTTTTTTTTTTTCACATAATTACTCACATGTCCCGTTCAATTCAGTTTTCAGAAGCGTTAAATTTTATTTTGCTCGAGTCTTGCTTGTCTATATTGATTATCACTTGTGGATTTTACCATTGAATATTCATAACTTCGAAGGTGACATGATAATATTAGTTTCTCGTTAGATAAAATTGTTCTAAGAGTTACTCATTGATGTATATATTTGGTGCTTAGGTGTTGAGTAGTTAGGGTTTGGGGTGAAAAGAAGGGAAATGGCGTCTTCAGATGATGAGGGTGAGACTCGGCCACTATCTGTGTCAAATTACCATTTTGAAGATGACAGAGATGCGCCTGTGTCTTTTTCTGTGTTGCCAATTCAATGGAGTGAGTCTGAGAGACTGGGTGGCAAGAATGAGAAGGTTTTCCTGCACGGTTTTGCGGATAATGGGCTGCAGAAGATTTTCATGCAAGTCATAGCGTGGAAGTTTGATATTTCCTATGTGAAGCCTGAGATATCAGTGCTATCAAAGGATGGAAGATGGATTAAACTTCAGAAGCCAAGGAAGAGCTATGAGGATATTATAAGGACTATTTTAGTCACCATTCACTTCTTGAATCTTTTGAAGAAAAATCCTGACATATCTGCAAAATCTGTGTGGGATAACTTGAGTAAGAATAAGGAGTTTAGGTAATTTTTGGAGTTCTGGGCTTCTTTCTCTCCTAATTGTTGTGGACGTACATATCATGACATATTTTTTTTAATAAATTATTTGTAGCTCTTATGAGGTTATGCCTTCGCAAATGGATCTATCAGACCATGTGGCTTTAATGGGTGAAGCTGCCAAAAGGGATGCTGTCTTAGCAAAGTCCCAGGTATGTATTTACTTTACAAAATTCGTTGTGGTGGTTAACTAGGAAATTAGCGTGTGATCTTTTTCCCCTTCTGAAACATCATTTTTGGGATTATTGATTCAAAATGTGGTTTGAAATTATAATTGTATAATTTTGCAATATGTTAAATTAATTGCTACAAAATTGAATTTTTAATTGGGGTTTATATATCTTATGTCACTGCACAACAAAATCTTCTGCAGCAGAGACAATAAAGAAGAGAGAGAAAGTGAGATGAGGAAAGAGAAAACAAAATTGTGGGCCCCTTTATAATTTACATAAAACATTTTTCCTTGTATGATAGTTGATGCAATGCAAGGCTAGGAAGATTTAATTAGCTGTGTTTGTAAATCATCTGTTGTGTTCTTTGCTTGTCCTTTTTTTTATTGTTATTTTTTTTTGAAGGAAACAGGTCATCTTATTATACTTTATCATACCCTTTGATGACTTCCAGTAATAAAAGTAAATAGGCCGTTTAACTGTTTCGATTTACAATTTTTTTATGGGAGAGGATGGATGAATAAAAATTAAGTTGCGTGTACAACTCTCTCCCTGCATCCCTATCAAAGTGGGCAATGTGCTTCTGTTACAACAGAATAGTCAAAAACTAAGTAAAAATAATTGTGCTTGTACAAGTTTAGAGAATCTTGTTAAAAAGATTACGCCAATCCTCTTATAAGGGAATTCTCCCTTGGCAAAGCCTCAGTTACAACAGAATAGTCAAAGAATATCTATCAGTAGGGAGTGTCTCCCTTGTATACAGCCATCTAGGCTTCTTTCATAAGCCTCGAACCATCTAACTCCTGTCTATACAGCAGTTATTAACTAATCTGGGATACTAATTAATGCCCTTAACTACTCTAGCTGCTGCCTGGGTATATTCCTTCGGGAATATACTTGCCAAACTATAGGATGTCACCTATTCCTTATTGGGGTCGTAACAATGTTTATGCTTATTTTTTAATGATGTTGAGATATATAGTCCCACATTGGTTGTATGTGCAACTAATGTGGAGTTTATAAGGCCTTGGGCACTCCCACCCTTTGAGCTAGCTTTTGGGGTGGTGACCTCAAGGTCTCCCAAGGTTCTTTATATAGTATCAGAGCCTCTCCGCCCCCCACTTTCTCTTGTGGCGTTTCTTAGCACAGGTAGGCTGAGCCTGTTGCATTGTCCACTCTTCAAGCCCAATGGGCTCTTGTGTAAGGGGGCGTGTTGAGATATATAGTCTCACATTGGTTGTATGTGCAACCAATGTGGAGTTTATAAGGCCTTGGGCACTCCCACCCTTTGAGCTAGCTTTTGGGGTGGTGTATCCCAAGGTTCTTTACAAATGATTATATTTTTGTTATTTTTGAATTGTGACTTTAGGGATGATTATGAATATGCAATAATTCTACATATTAATATAATGTTGAATATTGTGCTAGTATACCTTTCCGTAACTGCATCCTACATTTTTAGAAAATTGTTGTATCCATTATCATATCATAATCATTTAGATAGGATACTCTTACCCATAAACGTGCAACATAGCTTATATCAGATTTATTCCTTTGAATAACATTTAAATTAAATGGGTATTACATGATTCTTCTTTGTTATTTGAATTAATTGATGGATGTGTAAGACTCCTAGGTCAAGAATATGAAGTTCATGAAGTGGTTTGCATCCAACATTGAGCTAGATGAGATGTGTAGTCTCAAATACTGTTGTAGTTGATTCATCTTGTAAATATATTCTTGTTTTCCTTCTCTCTCAGTCTCCTTTTTCACATGCTAAATGTCTACTTTGTGCTCTTCAAATTTGCTTTGGCTTTAGTTATGTTATAAGTATTTAGTTATCCTCTGACTTGCATTTCTGCTATCTAACAAAATTAAAGTTTTGTTTTCTTTTTATTAAAGTATTAAACATTTAATTTCTTCTTTATAAGGAAAAAAAATATAATTTCTTGTTTTCTTCTTGACATGTTTGCCTCACTTTAACGACAATTACTTGAGTTAACAGCTTTTGCTCATGGTTCTGGAAGATAAGGATAAGCTGAGGATTAAGAAACTTTCTGAAGAGGTATTTAGATGTTAAATTTTTCTTCCTTGAAAATATTTTTCTGATATATTTTCTTTCTTTACTTTTTAATTATGTTATATGTATCATTTGTAATATTTTTTAAGATTCTAATTCATTGATTTCAGGAAGTTAAAGATTTATCACGACCTGGATTTATAATTGATGATATTGACAACGATATGTTTGATGATACTGTTGAAGAGTCAGATGGAGAGGATGAGTTGTTTGATTCTGTTTGTTCGATTTGTGACAATGGCGGTAAACTTTTGTGGTATGAAGTTTTTTTTGTGTGGTTTAATTCAATTTAGTGCGATAACTGTGCTTTCTATTTATGTGACTGTGCATAATTTCTCAAGAGTATCACATTCATATTTACTTGCCTCTTTATTTTATAGTAGTTGATTTAATTTTATTTCTAAAAAATTGTTATTAAATGATAAATTCAGTTGTGATGGAAAGTGCATGAGGTCATTTCATGCAGTTGAGGAGGATGGTGAAGAATCTAGTTGTGACTCTCTCGGTTTTAACCGGAAGGAAGTAGATGTATGTTAATTATACTTTTTCTTTATATTTATTTGACTCGTCCTTTTCCGTTCCCTTTTTCATTGTGTAATAATGTAGAAATTTGACTGCTTGTGATAAATTTTGCAGGAGATTCAGAACTTTTATTGTAAGAATTGTGAATATAATAAGCACCAGTGCTTCGCATGTGGCAAACTAGGCTGTTCTGATAAATCTTCAGGTGCTGAGGTACGACTGTGTGAAACAAAATGGGTTGCTCTTCTTGATTATTTCATTTATATATTTCCCCCTAGCTGTATGAAATGCCACCCAATCCTTTGTAGTCTATCTGAATATATATTTTTTATTTATCACTTTTACTTTGAGGAGAATTAGCTTTTAGCATATTTAACTCGGATCCCACTTCTTTTAATGATTTGGGTGATGTTTGTGGTGCCTTTTGGTAACTGTGAACATCAGGAAAGGTCCTACTGGAATGATCGTGTTGTATACTTCATTATCCCACATGCTTTGGGTCTTGGTTGAGTTGTTGATTGGGTCATGCATGTTTCATTGGTCGAGTTATTGCCTTGTTGGACTGACTGTCAAAGATCTCAAAAGATTTTAGCTTTGGAGGGCAATGGACTTGATTGTTGGCCAGAATCGAAAGAAAGACATGTTCCTATATCTACTATCCATACAAATTAACTTTTTTAGGAAATATGATAATGTTATTTAATTGAATCATATTGCGTTATTTATTTTCTTTCTATACCTTATATTTATGGTGAGCTGGACTACAAATTATATGCTTAGGACCCCTGAAATTGATTTCTTTCAGTCTTTTGTCGTACAAATTGTCTGACCAGTCTAAGCCTTCCCATTGATCAAATTAACCTTGCATGGTTGACAGTATCTTCAGCAGTTTAATCTCTAAACACTGATATTTTAAACTTGCAGAATGATTATGCTTCAAAACTTATAATTCACACGTTAAGTAGCAGATTCGTCCTTGGACTCCAATATATGCGTTACTGTGAAGTTTTGTCGTTGATGGTTTGTTGGCTTGTTTAGTATAGAGGCTTCTTCGATTTTAACACTTAGTTCTCCTACTTTAATGTCTGGTTTCTCTGGGTGGTGATTTTTATTGATCAAATGGTTTAAAATAAGAGAAACTTTTTCCGTACCCAATCTAGGTGCAAATCATGTGTTTATATGTAAAGTAAATAGGATACAGTACAGTGTAGTATAGAATAGTACCACAAAGACATAAATACCCTTATGCTCACTATTTGAGTGCTTACTACACTACACTACTATACACTTCCCCCAAAGTTGTTTATAGATGTTAATCATGTCAAACTTGTTACAAAGATAATTGACCCTATGCCCATAAAACGCCTTTGTGAGTCATGTCATGTAAATGTAAATGATGTAAGTCCCTGCTGAATCTTCTCTCAAATGAAATGGCAGTTGGTTTCCATGTGCTATGTTCTTTCATAAAATACTGATTTTGAGGCAATTTGAAAAGTGGCTTGGTTTTCGATCCACAACTTCTTGAGTAGAGAAACTTGGAACCCAGTCTCATCAAATGAATGATACACACACAATAATTCACGGGAATTTTGGCCCCTTTCGAACTCTGCACTTGACATTGCTTCTATGTTTTGTTTCTTACTTTTCCAAGAGATAAAATTACTTCGAAGGATCATGGCATGCAGTCGCCAGTTGATTTTTTATCTACAAGATGTCCAGCCCAATATCTTTAAAAAATTCCAAGTCTCAGGGTTCCCTTCAAATATCTTAGGATATGTAACATTGCATCCCAATGAGAATACTGAGATGACATGAGCTGACTCATTATGCCTAATAGGAAAGAGATGTCCATATGAGTCATACTGTCATAGTAAGGTAGTTAAGTGTGTTGACTAGTCTTTTGTACCTTTGGGAATCTGGTATTAAGTTTCTCTCACTTGCAATAAGTTTCATATTTGGAATCGATGGGGATCACAATGCCTAGTTTCCAACACATCAACATTAGAAAGGAGATCTAGGACATTTTCATTGAGAGTGAAAAGGCCCTTTTTGCTTTTGCTTATTTCTATTCCCAGTATTAGAGTAAATACTCGTGGGTTATTTTAGCCTTATTTTAGCTGCTATTTAGTCATTTTAGTTGGGGCATTTAGTTATGCCTACGTGGCATCTAGTTTCATTGAGTTGTAACTTGTATCAATTAATTGAATACCAAGTTAGTTTGGTCCAGGCTCAGCTTGCTCTGCAAGCTTGACGTATCTGTATATCTATCAGTTCTACACTTCTGAGCTGTAATTTTAATCAACTTTCAGAGAATTACAGAGTAATATTTTCTTTCCCTTTCTTCCACTTTACCTTTGTTTTTGTTTACCCAGTAAATACTTTAGATGGCCTAGGTCCTTCGTCTGATATTTGGTTTGAAGGGAGCTCGAGTTTTGAAATGCCAGATGTGTCACTCCCAGTTATGATTATGTCATCAACATAGACAACATGACTCCATGAGAATACGTCCGTTGGATTGCCAATGAAAGACAGAGTAATCATAGATGGCTGCTCCTTTTCAAGACAGAATCGAGTGCTACTTCACTTCACTCCTTTTATTTCGTACGTAGTTGCCGGATGACCTTGGTTGGACCAGGAAAAACAAACCCAACCCTGAAATGCTTGCACTGAAGCAAAATGTACTAAAACCTATAACCCAGCTAGCTGTCAGCTGCCATCCTGCCCCCGACCCCTGTCATGGTGCCAATCAACCACAAATGGCCTGATGTCACTGGTGACCACTACTAGTTCCTTGAGAAATTCAATGGCTGCCCTAACTTGAAGACATGACTTAGGTCACGATGCTGTTGCTACCTATTTTGATCTCTTTGTTTTGCTTTGTTTTAGAGGAATACAAATTGAGAGAGCTCTATACCGTGAAAAATAAAAGAGAAATTAGAAAGGTTAGCAGTACAACGTAGTACAAAGTAGTACCACCAAAGGCATATATATCTTTTTGCAGTAAATACATGCTTAATACACTACTCCTAACAAACGGTTTTCAGAAATAGGATGATCTTCCTAGATTTTTTTTGTTTTTATATTGGACTAAAAGTCGTTTTGTTTTAGGTCTTTAAATGTGCTTCTGCAACCTGTGGCTTCTTTTATCATCCACAATGTGTTGCAAAGTTACTTCACCGGGTGGTTGAGGATGCTCCACAGGAACTTGAGAAAAATATTGCTGGGGGAGAACCTTTTACTTGTCCTACTCATTATTGCTGTGTCTGTAAAGAAATGGAAAACAAGAAGGAACATGATTTACACTTTGCTGTCTGTAGGCGTTGTCCTAAGTCATATCATCGCAAATGTTTGCCAAGGTTATATCACCTTTTGTCCTGTGTTTCTAGTATTCATTTAATGATTCTAATTTTTAGTATCCAGAGGGTTGATTATCAAGTTGCTTTTATCAGAAAGATCGCTTTTGATGACATAGAGGAAGAAGATATTATAACGAGGGCTTGGGAAGGACTTTTACCAAACAATCGCATTCTTATATATTGCTTGTAAGTGTTATAGTATAAGGATACTTTTGCTTTCCAATTTATCCATGTTAACCTCCTATCTAATAGCTTTTCCCATTCTTTGCACCAGAAAACATGAGATTGATGATGAACTTGGGACTCCTATAAGAGATCATATAAAATTCCCCAATTTTAAAGCTACTGTACGAGAAATTAATGCTGAGGAGAAGAGAAAGCCAGCAACCAAAGAGAGAGTTATGTTGAACAAGGACAATGCTGACTTACATAATTTACTTAGCAAAAGAAATACTGCTAAAGTATCTAAACTGTCTGGTAAGATGTCTTCTGCGAAAGTTGGTATCAAGAAGTCTGAACAGATTTTTGGATCAAATATCTCAAGGAAGAAAGTAAATGAAGCATCAAGGTTTTTGAATGAAAATAAGAGGTCAATCTCGAAGGAAACTGAAAGGTCTGACTGTGAGGAAAACAAGCTCTCATTGGGTAAGAAATTATATGCTTACATGCAGAAGGGTTCTGAGCAAATTAATTCTGGCAATCAGGTTGATAATGTAGCTAATAACACCCTGTCAGTGAAGCCGACTAAAAAACTGAGTAAAGCATTGCCCGCATTAGATGCAGATTCAGAGAGGAGGTAAATCTGTCGTATCTGGACTTCTGGATTGCCTATTTTATGCTTTTGCTGATGTTGATTTTTTTTTTATTTTAGTGTGTTTTTTGTTTTTTTTTTTTTTGGGGGGGGGGGGGTGTTGGTCAGTTTTTAGTGTTTAATAACATTCTGTTGGATATTTGTTTGAAACTCTAAAGCTGTCTTTGTGTTATGTTGTTATTTATGGTGATATTGTTAAGATGTTTTCTAATGATGTAGATTGTTGGCTTTGTTTAAAGAAGCTACATCATCAGTTACTTTGGCGAATGTCATAAAAGAACATAAATTTGCTTCTACTCATGCTCATTCGTTGAAAAATGTTGTGGAGAAGACCATTAGAGTGGGCAAGTTGGAAGGCTCGGTTGAGGTACACATCTATCTATATTTATTACTCTATGGTGTTGTATTGCGGAGTTTGTTTTTGTTGAGATATATAGTCCCACATTGGTTGTATGTGCAACTAATGTGGAGTTTATAAGGTCTTGGGCACTCCCACCCTTTGAGCTAGCTTTTGGGGTGGTGTATCCCAAGGTTCTTTACATGGTATCAGAGCTTCGCCGCTCCCCACTTTCTCTTGTGGAATTTCTTAGCACAGGTAGGCTGGGCCTGTTGCATCATCCACTCTTCAAGCCCAATGGACTCTCGTGTGAGGGGGCGTGTTGAGATATACAATCCCACATTGGTTGTATGTGCAACTAATGTGGAGTTTATAAGGTCTTGGGCACTCTCACTCTTTGAGCTAGCTTTTGGGGTGGTGTATCCCAAGGTTCTTTACAGTTTTAAGCTTATGTGCTCTGTATTGTGTGTATATAGGCTGTTAGAACAGCTCTAAGGATGCTAGAGGATGGGCACAGCATTCGAGATGCAGAAGCTGTTTGTGAACCTGATGTTCTTAACCAAATATTCAAGTGGAAGGTACTTTCCTATTTTTAAATTAATTTTTCGAGAAATTTTGGTTTTGTGTCTAAATGTTCAGTCCCCTCTAATACGTTTTACAGCATGATATTATTTCATTGTCTTTTCTTTCGTAACATGCTTTATGCTATGTCTTGTTACATATCTTGATATCTGTTTCATAAATTTGGTGTTTTCATTTATGGTACACAATAGATGCAATTCTAAATTCATGGAAATGATTCAGTTCAGTTATCACAACTACATTGAGTGAATTTTTTGTAGGACAAGCTGAGAGTATATCTTGCACCTGTTCTATGTGGTAATCGCTACACATCATATGGTCGCCATTTTACTCAATTGGAAAAGCTGGAAGGGGTATTATATTCCCATTCAACTTCATCTCTTTTTATTTTTGTTATTTTATCAGATTCCTGTGTTCTTGATATTCTCTCTTTTTGATTGTATCTTTTTACATCTTTTGGTATTGCTGGGTTGGGGAGACACAAAAACTAGTTTTAATATCCTCCTTTTCATTGAAGAGTATTATTGATCTAGGATAGCCCTTGAATATGTATTATAGATTTTTGGGTGAGGCAGATGTCATGAATAGTGGAAATAGTTAAGCAGATGCTGTAATAAAAGAAAACAGATTAACAATAATTATGATGCTTTTGGCTTTGATTATGTAGTAAGATGTGGTAAGCAGCTTAAAGAGAAGCATGCATCTATAATGATATTTTTCAGTTTTAGTTCAACCACAACATAGACCTGATACTGGCGGCCAGTCATTCTTAGTTGGGTTTAATGGTTTGAATGATGGCAATGTGATGAACAATTGGGTAAATACTCTTATGAGGGGGAGAGGCTATGTACATAAAAATATTTCAGTACCACCTAATTAAAAATCTATCTGTCAATGAAGCAAAGTTATCAAATGCGGATTGCGGCATGTCGCGGCCAATCCCGAAAAATGCTATAGCGGGTTGCGGAAATAGCGGAATAGATATATATGACAGAAATAATGACAAAAAGAAACATTTTTTAAAGGCAAAGATAGCAGAAGTGACACAGAGAGACGCAAATAAACTAGAAAATCCTTAAAAAATTTCTGTTACACATTTAAATTTAGGACAAAGTTGACATTTTGCCTTATGACAGCAATATGACTGCGATTTGGCTGCAAATGCAATCGAAATGGCCGCTATTGCATTCTGGTGCGACGTGACGTGGTTTCTTGCAGTGAGGCACCGCAACGCCCATACGACGTGGCTCACGGCGCTATTGCGGCGCGATTAACTACTAAGCAATGAAGTGTCCAAAAACTGTCTTCATAATTTTGATATGCCTTTGTCTGGGATTTATTTGGTTTAAACTGTAGATGAAGTATTAGATTTAGCATCTTGTGAAACTCATCATATGTGGCACTGAAATTATAATTATTTGAATGGGGTTGGAAAGGATCCAGCTTTAGACATGGTGCTGAGTTAAAGATTCACTTGAACCAAAAAAAAGCTCAATGAAAAACCCAAGAATGATTTTGACCCTTTTGGATGAACTTATGTTTTACCTATAGATGCTTATTTAGCTTTATGATGACCTCTATAAATTTTTTACATGATTGTTAGAGCTTATGAAAAGATATTATCCAACCTCAATAGTTTGAAGTCAGGTTATTGTCATATGCTCATAGTTATAGCATTTGAACATTAGTTTAAAATGGATTATATGATAAGATATTTGGTGTAAGTTTTCTGAGGTGTTTAATATTTATACAAGCACATGTTTAAAACAAACTAATCATTCAAACTTTATTGTTATCGCACTAATAGTTGCCGATGTTCTGAATTGCACAAGTAGGTGCATAGTAATACACTTCTTGACAATGTAGCTTTCCTGGAGTTTGATTATTTAAAATTTGGAAAATCATTTGGAAAGTGATTATTCTCATCACGTTTGATATGAATAACTTTTTGTCTTGCTGGAATGGATTTCTTTCTTGGCTTACCCACAATAATTGCATCCATCAAGCATTACTTAAAAGAATGGTTTTTTTGTTTGCAGATTGTTGATAGACTTCATTGGTATGTTCAGAATGGTGATACAGTAAGTACTGATATTAATGTACAATTATTTAGTTTGTTGTCCTTGCATACTTTTTGTCATTAATTTTATAACGTAATATTCGCCTGAGGCTGAGTGAAAATGGTCCTCCAAAGAGTTTGTGCATACTTGAAGTTGTAGTGTATTATTTACTAAAACTTTGAACAGATCTGACATCAAGATATTTGAGTTTTTATTTTCTGACAAATAATTGGTGGGAAGTAAATGATGCTGGTTTTTGATTATTCTATGGTTTAACTAGTCTAGGAAAAATCTTTTTTTAATTTCTGTGTCAATTTCCTGCCTATCTGGAATTCTATGTTAGACTCTTTGTTTCTAACATTTCTTCTGTGTTCGACAATTCTTTCTCTGCCATATCGGTACAACAAAAGATCACATTTTCCTTGTGAAATTATGATTTACTATTACTGTCTGGTGGATTACCATTGCATATATAATCTATTCTAATTTTTAATGTTGATTAACTTACTGGGAATGATTATTTATTATCAGATCGTGGACTTTTGTTGTGGCGCAAATGATTTTAGCACCCTTATGAAGAAAAAGCTCGAAGAGAATGGGAAGAGATGCTCATACAAAAACTATGATTTACTTCCAACGAAGGTGAATTTACAAGTTGTTATCACTCTAATTCTATTTATTCGAATTTTGCTAATTGCCACTGCAATCTGTGATTGCTGACTTTAAACTGACCAATTTTTTTGTATTTAAAAGTTTAAAGTATTGGTGTGTTTTCTATTATTTGTATTGTTTCTGATATCTTTGACAAGTTGGCAGAGGTTTTCAATATGCTTCCAGTTGTAATATTTCAGTTTATCAATGATGTCTTCTCTGTTTGTTACCGCCTTGTAATAGAATAACCATAATCTTTGAAAAACTAGTGATTTGGTTAAATATGACTATGCTGGTGGTTAAATAATATGGAGAGGAGAGGCAATTTTCAAATCCACGTGTCTCAATAGCACAACTGAGGCGCTATTATATAGAGCTACTATGACAATTACATAAGACTAATGGAACAATGTGGTACTTCTTATCAACTTATTTCCAATACTTCTAACACTCCCCTTCAAGTTAAAACTTACTAAAGCTTTGAGTTTGTTACAAATGAACCCTTACATATGAAAAATTAACCAAATAATATATTTGAGCTCCATAAAACATGAGTGCAAAATCAACTCTGGGATGCTGGAGACGTCAGACAGATCAAAGTTGCTGGAAAGACAACTCAGCATGGCTGGAATGACCGTCATTTGTTGAAATATTGTGTAACTAAGGAAGAAGAGACTTCGTTTGAATGAACACAAGCAGAAATGTCGTGACAAGCAAGTATATACAATAGGAACTAAAACTTCTCCAATTTCATCAAGAACAGCATTTGGAAGCTTCAACCACATGAAAACTTAGGAGGTCCAACTAAACATTTATAGGACAAAGTCCGACAGGGCCAATATGTTGCTGATAAAATTTCCAACAGAGCCAGGCTACATCTGGGCCAAAGACTAATGGGGCCAGGCTACAACTGGGATGGTGATTGCTTGATCAAAGAAATCAGTGAGAGAGGAAAGAGAGAGAGAGGAAAGAGAGAGAGGAAAGAGAAACGAGAGAGAATGAGTGGTTCATATTATTCAATGGTAATCAGAAACAGTACACATGTGTCCTTTATAGAGCTCCTAAGTTTGTTACAAACGTTACACGTCATATTCAGTTCACCAACTAATATATTGGCTATTTACACAAATAACCCTGAGTACAGCTGTGACCATAAGCACAACTATTCAGTTTACGATATAGCTACTCTAATATCTCATTCTCTCTCTCTCGTTTCTCTTTCCTCTCTCTCTGATTTCTTTGATGGTATCAGAGCTCTCTTTCTGAGGGCCTGATACAGATCGTCTCACTCGATATCTTCCGCTTCGCAACCACACTCTCCGTCGGCTTCAGCCACCGGAACCACTGTTGGAAATGGATCAACGGAGAACCGATCGTCTTCTTCGTCGTTGTTCACTCATCAAATCTCTGTCAAGCTAACAGAGAGTAATTTTCTCCTCTGGAATCAAGTTGTAGAACCGGTAATCACTTCTCACCAACTTCATCACTTCCTTGTAAACCCTAAAATACCTCTTCAGTATGAATCTGAGCAAGCTCGTGTTGACGGAGTCATTAATCCTCTGTATACTGAATGGCTTCGTCAAGATCAGATGCTCCTCTCGTGGATCCTTTCTACTGTTTCAGAAGAAGTCTTGAATGAGATCCTTGGTGTTAGCCATGCATACGAAGCTTGGGAGCAGACTCATAAGTTCTTTCAAGGAATGATGAGATCTAAGACTCATCAGCTCAAATCTGAACTTCGTACCATCAAGAAAGGTGGGAGATTTGTAGCTGAATACCTCAGACGAGTGAAATCCATCTGTGATGAACTGAAAGCTGTTAAAAGTCCTATCTCTGTAGAAGAACAAACTGAGTTAATATTAGCTGGTCTTCCTCCAGATTTCAATGCGTTTGTAACCTCCGTTAGAGCTCGCGAAAATCAATATTCACTCAGTGATTTGCGAGTTGAACTTATTTCTTATGAAATGATGCTTGCAAGGCAAAATGAAACTCTTCTCTCAGAATCAATGTCTGTGAATCTAGTTCAGAAAGTCTCCATTGATCAAAAGGAAGCCTCTAGATCTGAGTTAACAACTACAAGACCTCCATTTGGTGCTATACAAACTAACCAGAACCAGAACATGTACAGTCAAAGGCCTTATGGCTCAAATAATGAAAGAGGCAGAGGGAGATTCTATGCTCGAAACAACAGAGGAGGAAGAGGTCGTGGACGTAGCAATGTCCAGTGCCAACTTTGCTATAAGTTTGGACATGGAGTTCAGAGCTGTTGGTATAGGTTTGATGAAAACTTTGTACCTGAATTCCCTCCACCCGAAGCCCCTCAGTACTTCCCATTACCACAATCTTCATTTCAGAGATCCTATCAGTACAACAGAACTGCTGCATCAAACCAACCTCAAGCTCTGTTAACCACCAATCAACCTCAACAAGCCACTCAATAGCAATGCAATGTCACTCAGGGTCAAGGACTTCTGCCAACTCCTTCGAATATTCAAACCATTGAGTGGTATCCAGACTCAGGTGCTTCTCACCATGTCACTGCTAATCCTCAGAACCTGCTACAAAGCACACAATTGTCAGGTGCAGACCAAGTTTACATAGGGAATGGCCAAGGTTTGAAAGTGAATGCTGCTGGTCACTCCTCTTTTCCTTCTCCACTCAAACCACACACTCATTTACACCTCAATAACTTACTTCTTGTTCCATCTATAACTAAAAATCTCATTAGTGTGAGTCAGTTTGCTAGAGATAATGGTGTCTATTTTGAGTTTCACCCCTCCACTTGCTGTGTGAAATCTCAGGTATCTCATGAAGTGTTGCTGAATGGTGCTTTGGGAACAGATGGACTGTACCGTTTTCAAGGAGTCAATATTTCCTTGAACTCTAATAAGCAATCAAGTCAACAGTGTTCTCCTACTTCTATTTTCAATTCTGTCTTCTGTAGTCCTAAGACCGTGTGTAGTAGCTCAGTTTCTTCTAGTACCTTACCCACTGATGTACTCACACAATGCACATTATATATATATATATATATATCCAATGAAGCTAGTAACTCTGTAAAATCTGTAGGATCAAACTATATGTACTCCCTTTGGCATTGTAGACTGGGACATGCTCACACTGAGGCCCTAAATTCTGTTCTAAAATCCTGTAACATTTCTATTCCAAATAAAACAGATATTTCCTTTTGTTCAGCTTGCTGTTTGGGAAAAATACATCGTTTGCATTCTGCTCCATCCACCAAAGTGTATGCAAAACCTTTTGATCTTGTGTTCAGTAATATGTGGGGTCCAGCCCCTGTTAAATCTACAATGGGCTTCACTTATTACATATCATTTGTAGATGCTCACTCTCGATACACTTGGATTTATCCTCTTAAACAAAAGTCAGAAGCATTAACTGTTTTCAACCAATTTCAAGCACTTGTGTCAAATAATTTTCAGTCGGCCATTAAAGCTCTTCAAACTGATTGGGGTGGAGAGTTTAGGCCCTTTCATCAGCAGCTTAAAGATCTTGGTATAATTCATAGGATTAGTTGTCCCCACACTCATCATCAAAATGGTTTGGTTGAGAGAAAATATCGTCACATAGTTGAGACTGGCCTCACCTTACTTGCCCATGCATCCTTACCTATAAAATTTTGGGATCATGCCTTCATCTCTGCTGTTTATCTCATCAATTGTTTACCCACTGCTGCCTTAAATTTTGAGGTTCCCTTCATCAAATTGCATAAAACAGTTCCTGACTATAAATCCTTCAAAGTCTTTGGGTGTGTTTTCCTTTCCTAAGACCATACAACAGTCACAAACTAGAGTTTAGAAGTAGTGAATGCCTTTTCCTTGGCTACTTTCCCACTCATAAAGGCTACAAATGTCTCAATTCATATGGTAGACTCTTTATCTCAAAAGATGTACTTTTCAATGAAACAAAATTTCCCTACCCTATTTGGTTCAATTTGCCTTCCACCACTCCTTCACATGACTCTTCTCCATCTGTCTCCAATATAATTCCTTTAATGACATCACCAACAAAGTTTACTTCTACTGCACATTCATCATCACTGCCGTGTGCTAATAGTCCAAGTTCCTAAGCATCTAGCAGCACCTCCTCAACACCAGCATGCAGCCCAGACCAACCAACATCATCCTCATCGTGTCCAAGTCCAGCTTCATCTCCAGACACATCACATTCTAGCAACAACTGTGCTTATGGGTCAGTTTCACCTGCTGCCTCCTCACATTTAGGTTCTCCTGTTCCTATTTCTTTTAGTCCCACTTCTTCATCTTCTTCTCCTTCTAGTTCTGGCTCAGGTTCCGTTACAAACTCACCAACTCACCCCATCATTACTCGTTCCAAAACAGCCTGCATGCCTCACATTCTTTCCACCTTTCTTGAGCCTAGCACAGTCAAACAAGCCTTGGCCAACCCCAACTGGTTCTCTGCTATGCAAACTGAAATTGATGCACTTCATATCAACTCCACTTGGTCTTTAGTTCCTCTTCCTCCCAACAGAACAGCCATTGGTTGCAAGTGGGTCTTTCGAGTCAAAGAAAATCCAGATGGCTCTCTAAATAGATATAAAGCTAGGTTGGTGGCAAAAGGATTCCACCAACAAGCTGGTTTTGATTACACAGAGACATTCTCTCCAGTTGTGAAGCCCATCACAATCCGTACTGTACTCACTATTGCCATTACCTTTGGCTGGTCATTAAGATAGCTAGATGTTAATAATGCCTTCCTCAATGGCACTCTTGAAGAAGAAGTTTACATGCAACAGCCGCCTGGCTTTGAATCTTCTAATAAATCTCTTGTTTGCAGGTTGCATAAGGCTCTTTATGGCCTAAAACAGGCACCACAAGCTTGGTTTGACAAATTGAAAACCACTCTACTTCATCTTGGCTTTACTGCTAGTAAGTGTGATCCCTCACTGTTTATCTACAAGAAAGCAGCTCAATGTGTTTTCCTCTTGGTTTATGTAGATGATATAATCATCACTGGTAGTGACTCATCCTACATCCAGTCTCTCATTCAACAACTCCATTCTACCTTTGCTCTCAAAGATCTTTGAGAGCTTAATTTATTCCTTGGAATTGAAGAGCAGAAAGCACCTTGTGGAGTGTTAATACTCTCTCAATCTAAATACATTAAAGAGTTACTTAACAAAGCTCACATGGCAGATGCAAAAGGAATCTCTACTCCTCTTCAATCTGGCTGCAAGCTCTCCAAGTATGGGTCAAATTATTACTCAGATCCTTCCTTCTATCGGTCTATTGTGGGAGGTTTACAATACGCCACTCTCACTAGACCTGAAATCAGCTATTCAGTGAATAAAGCTTGCCAATTCCTATCTCAGCCCCTTGAAGAACATTGGGCTGCTATCAAGAGGATTTTGCGTTATTTGAATGGTACATTACATCATGGTACGCTGTTGCAACCATGCAATCCCAACCATTTGTTCTCTATCACAGCATTTTGTGATGCAGATTGGGCTAGTGATCCTGATGATCGACGGTCCACTTCTGGAGCTTGTGTCTTTTTTGGATCTAATTTAGTTTCTTGGTGGTCTAAGAAGCAAAATCTTATAGCTAGATCTAGCACTGAAGCTGAGTATCGCAGCCTTGCTCTAGCCACTGCAGAAGTTTTATGGCTTAAATCTCTTCTTCATGAGCTCGAAGTTCAGTTTCGTACACCTCTGATTCTCTGTGATAACCTGAGCACAGTATCTCTGTCTCATAATCCTGTCCTTCATGCCAGAACCAAGTATATGGAACTAGACATTTTCTTTATCAGAGAACGTGTTCTTGCTAAGGAAGTACAAGTCTGTCACATTCCAGCTCTTGATCAAGTTGCTGACACCCTCACCAAGAGCTTATCTGCCTCACGGTTTGCTGTTTTGAGAGACAAACTCAGTGTGGTGGATTCTCACAGTTATCTCCATCCACCCTGAGTTTGAGGGGGCATATTAGAGTAGCTATATTGTAAACTGGACAGCTGTGCTTATGGTCACAGCTGTACTCAAGGATATTTGTGTAAATAGCCAATATATTAGTTGGTGAACTAAATATGACGTGTAACGTTTGTAACAAACTTAGGAGCTCTATAAAGGACACATGTGTACTGTTTCTGATTACCATTGAATAATATGAACCACTCATTCTCTCTCTCTCGTTTCTCTTTCCTCTCTCATTGATTTCTTTGACTTGATATGCAGTGAAAGAAACAAATGAGAAAAGGTTGGCAAAAAAGTAAGAAACGAAGATTTCCAAAATTTAGTGAACTCGGCAGTGAAAAAGTGATGAAACAGGTTATTAATAACGTGGAAAGGAAAGGCGATGTTCAAATCCATGTGTCAATAGAACAGCGGAGGCTCTGTTATATAGAGTGACTATGGCAATTACATAAGACTAATATAATGAAGTGGGACTTCTTATCAACTTATTTTCAATACTTCTAACAATGCTTATATATCTGTTTGTATTGACATATGCTTTAATATTGCTGTATGTGTGATATTTTGGTTTTCCATTTTTTTTAATATTTTTGTGGCTCCTCTATCGACATTGATATGATCATCATCTCATCAAGTGTCCGGATTAGGAATAACATATTGCATGTAATTTGGTTGATTAGCTCTGGCAAGGAAGAATTTGATGTACTAAATATATCCAGTAATATGATATGCGGAGGTGTCTGCCTGAGTATGCCCTCTCTTTTGGAAAATTCCTTGTCCATCTTAATTCTTCATATCTTATCAGATTTTTTTCATTCATTTTAAACGGTAAATGCATATGATTGAACTTTAAGCATCTGGTGTATATGGGTGGGTGTACAATATAGCTATTAGTAACTTGCCAGCATATTCTTCAGGAATATTTCAATGCTTTTGCTACATGAAATAAGTAATTTTTTTGGGGCCATATTGCTACTTTTGAAGACTGAATAGCAGTTTGACGTGGTGATTTTTCAATGGAAGTTTGGAGGCTTTTGTAATTTTAAGTAGTTTGGGGCTTAAATGATGCTTGGTAATAATTAATGGGCTGTATAAAATAGCTTACTAGACTCTTTTGTGAACTGAACTGGCTTAAGATGAATATTATGACTCTCTGGCGTTCTCATGTTATGAGCAAAATAATTTTTGGTGAATGAAGACAAATGCAGACTATAGTTAAGGGTTTAGTCTATGATTATCTTGTTATTTTTCTTTACCTGTTTACCAGAATGTTGTTTGTTTTATTTACAGAATGATTTTAATTTTGAGATGAGAGATTGGATGACCGTCCAGCCAAAAGAGTTGCCTACAGGGTCGCAATTGGTAAGAATTGGTCAATTGGATGGTTGAGATTAGCATGCATATCCACATGGCCAACTCATGTATTTATTTTCATTATTTTTCTTGTCTTCTTCTGGAACAGATCATGGGCCTCAATCCTCCCTTTGGGCTTAAAGCAGCTTTGGCTAACAAGTTTATAGATAAGGCTCTCGAGTTCAGACCGAAGCTCATGATTCTTATAGTACCACCTGAGACAGAGAGGTAGTGTCTTTTCTCTCGTTATTTTTTCATGGATGGGAGAGTTAAAATAATCTTCCCTTCTACATAAGCCTGCCCGGACTACCCGAGTCGTTGCTTCCTGGTTGGATGAAATAGTTCATTATTATTTTTCCTGACTTTTCACAATTATTTTCTTATTATAGGCTGGATAAAAAACGGTCGCCGTATGATCTTGTCTGGCAGGATGAGAATTTCCTAGCAGGCAAGGTAAATATTATACAAATTATGTTTGGTGATATTTGTAATTGGCATTTGGAGATTATATAAATTGGGGAGCCAAATAATGTAGAAATTATGTTTTGGTTGATGCACTCCTTTTGGTATTCTGACTGCTTTTTTATTTTTTTATAATTTTCCGGGTTTTGTCTCCAGTCTTTTTATCTACCTGGATCAGTTGATGCCAATGACAGGCAAATAGAGCAATGGAATGTTAAGCCTCCCCCGCTCTACCTTTGGAGCCGTCCGGACTGGACTGATAAGCACATGGTCATAGCCCAGGAGCATGGTCACCTGTTCAGCCAGCATGAAGTATTAAAAACGGAAAGCTTTAATGATGAAAAGTCACCTGCCAGTCACACTATGGATGGTAACCATGTTGATGATCTCTTTCTGGGTCATGATCTCTTGAAGTCAACTGATAACGAAGAAGATCATGCGTCTATGAATGAAAGTCAGAAAGGAAGCTCGCCGCATGGAAATGTTGATCGAGAGAGTCAAGATAGACAGGAATATTGGGTGAAGATGGCTGAGAATACCTCATGGAAGAGGAAACGAACAGAGGAAAATGAGGGCGGTGGACTAAGTGTGACATCACCAGCCAAAATGCAGGCTGTAAATCAAATGGTTGAGGAAGTACTTGACCGTAGTCAATCCAATCCAGATGATGGGAGAGTTGAAGGTTATCAGCCCAAATCTGTTATGTCACCTACGTATATTGATTTTGGTGACAATGGTAATTGGCATTTGGATCCCCCCTCTTCCTCACGTATGGAGTTTGGAGTTGCCTCTAGTGTTGTCGATCCTCTTTCTGATTATGGGGTTACAGATATAGAGGAACACCATAGCAGCCTCCTAGGAGACAGCACCAATAGCATTGGATATAGACCCTATATCATGGAGGATCAGAATTACCTGAGAGAATTGGAGACAAGGCAACAGACTCGCCTTTACGGGCTGCAGAATCCTGATTCTATGAGGAGTAATAATCTATCTGGTCATGATTCTGCTTATAGCCAAATGGGATCTAGTTATGGGTTACTCAGTTCAGTACCCGATTCATCTTACATGATGAATACATCAACTATGCAACGATATGCACCTCGGCTAGATGAATTAAATCCTGTCAGGATGGATTCTTTGGGATCTGAACCTCCTATTGTTGGTAGAAATGGCACTTTTGAACCTAGTGTGCCCCAACCTGGATATGGAACTGGGCTGCCTCCTTTTGCAACCGGTCCTCACAATTTGTATTCACGCCAGAATTCAGCGGGTCGGTAGAACGAGTAGTTTGAATTTCTATCTTTTTTAGGTTCTGGATAAAGATGTGATATATTGTACATAGATGATATTAAGAAGGAACGTGTTGTCCATAAAGATTGTTTGATTGTGGTCCTGGTACATCATTCAGAGAATTTCTGTTTGTTATGCTCCCTTCCATCCGTGTCCTTCCCAAAGGGCAAAGGGTACTTTCTTGTTTTCTCTGCCTTAGTTGATGAGGACAATGAAGATGAAAGAGTAATAGAATAAGTAAATTTGCAATTTATTAGTTTTTGGAATTATTCCCTACTTGTAGTTTTTGTCCTGGAATTTAATTGTGTGTACAAGTTAATTTCTGAATTTACAAAACTTTATCAACTCAGGCCTTCATAGGGATCATAGTAAGAAACATAAAGGGTTGAATTGATACACATTTTATATATTCAGATACTTTCAAAGACTGAACTGCAAGTGGAAAATAATTTCAGAGGCTAATTTGTTAGATTAGTCAGAAGAATTGTTAGATATGAATGTGCTTAGCATCTCACCCCATGTCTAGGCAATTAATTACCGTAAATTGATAATGGAAAAAAGCCTCTGAATTTGTGCTTCACATATTTTTATTCCTTTAAAATTTTAAATTTTATATTTGGGCTATTTTGATTAATAAATGAGTAATATTTAACATTGAACATAATTTTATGATTTTTTTTATAACAATGTTTTTTGGAAGCTTGAATTAATAAATTTATTTGCTGATAAAATTTATACGAAAAATCCTATATAACAATAAATATTGAAAAATAGTTACTAATAATTTTTAAATATTCTATGAATGCAAAAAAGAAAAAATTTAAATAACAAGGAAAATGCAATATGATAATAAATATTGAAAAATATTGTCACAATAATATTTTAAATATTCTACAAATGAAAAAGAAAAAGAAAAAGTATAGATTATAGTCAGAAAATTTGACGGAAAATGTACACCTTTTATATTATTCCTAATTACGGGATCTGCGTGATGTATGGGTAGTTTCATTTTTATTTATTTATTTTTGTCCTGAAACGTTTGTCTAAATGAACCAAAATGCAGAAATATAAAAAGGAAGGGAGAATTGTGTGTCATTTTAAAGAATGTAAAGTTGTGTCATTTTAAGAGAAAGAAAGAGATAGATAAAGAAGGAGAGTTGAAAAAAATAAAATAAAGGTATAAGTCTCATTTCTTTATGAGAGTGAAAAAATATAAGTTATGTCATTTAAAAAGATAAACAATTTTCTCAAAAAAATAATCATGTAAAAAAAAACAAAAGAGGAATCATGTTAAAGTTTGCAAGCTTCCTAAATCGAAGAGAACAAACGAGATATATATACATGGATTTTATGTTTATCATTTAACATAATATAACATCACTTTACTACACACACATTAAAGAGGTGGGGTCCACATGTTTTTCTTTCTCTTTCATCATTCCACTTTCTCTCACAATTTGTGTGTGTGTTAGAAACAACACTTAAATCATGTAACATAACAATAATAAAACCCTATATACATAGCAAGAACTTTGACCATTGTACATTGTCTTTATCGATATAATTTAGTACATTTTGTTTCTTCTTTTAAATTATAATAATAATTTTTTTTATATTTTTTTTGTGAGCCTCACATATCTCATCACCCATCGGTCTCCATTCTCGTTGACATTTCACATAAAACCAAGTCCAGGACAATTCAAGAGAGAACCAAAAAATGGATGGTGAAATTCAGAGATTCATAAAGGTGTGGATTATAGTCATCTCATGTCTTTGTTATTGTTATTACATAGCTTCTAGAATACCAAAAGGCTTCATGAGACTTCTCTCTGTCTTTCCTGTTCTCTATCTCTTCCTTATCCTTCCCTTAAACCTCTCTTCCTTTCACCTTGGTGGGCCCACAACCTTCTTCCTTGTTTGGCTTTGCAGTTTCAAGCTCCTCCTTTTCTCCTTCAACAAAGGCCCTCTTTCCCTTTCTCCAAACATCTTCCATTTCATCTCCATAGCTTCACTTCCCATCCAACCCAAACACACCCCAAACATTCAAAAACCAAAACCCCTTTTCCTCCTATTTCTAAAACTCCTTATCTTGGCCTCAATCATATGCGCTTATGACTACAGAGAAAACTTACACCCACATTTCATCCTAGCCCTCTATATCTGCCACATGTACCTTGGCATAGAGCTTGTGCTAGCCATAACCGCAGCCCCGGCTCGAGCCATTTTCAACTTTGAGATTGAACCACAGTTCAATGAACCCTACCTTTGCACCTCACTTCAGGACTTTTGGGGTCATAGATGGAACCTCATGGTTTCAAGTATTCTACGCCCCACCGTATACGATCCTCTCCGCCATGTGTCTACTCGTTTTGTGGGTCCCTCCTGGGGCACATGTGCTGCCATGTTGGCCACGTTCCTTGTGTCCGGTCTTATGCATGAGTTGATATATTATTACCTTGCACGTGCGCCTCCCACGTGGGAAGTCACGTGGTTTTTTGTGCTTCATGGTGTGTGCACGGCGGCGGAGGTGGTGGTGAAGAAGGTGATGGTCTGCCGTGGGTGGCGGTTGCACTGTGCCGTGTCGGGGCCGCTCACGGTGGCTTTCTTGGCGGTCAGCGGGAAGTGGCTGTTTTTTCCTCAACTGTTGAGGAATGGTGTGGACATGAAGGCTATTGGGGAGTATGCAATTTTGGTAAATTTTTTAAAATCTAAGTTACCATTAATGAATTTGTTTTACTCTCTATAGTGAACAATTGAACATTGCTATACTTGTAATTACTCATTTTTGATGGGTAGACATTGATTTACTTATGCAATAATATTTACCAAATCAGAACAAGCATGTTATTTTTAGTAAATGAGAGTGAGTTAATAAAGAAAATGTGCAATTCAAAAAGTCTCAAGTGCATATTTTATTTTACTTCTTCAATTCATGTTGGTTTGTTCTAATATACACTTCTTTAGATAAGGAAGTTGGGGTGATTGAGTTTTTGTGTATCCCACGTATTATGAAGAGAAATGATTTGAACACAATTTTGTAAGAAAGTAGATTCGCTCGTGTGTTAATTAATATAACTAAGTCATGTGAGAGATTTATAATCATATAAAAGTGTATCAATAGTGATAAAGAAATATTGAGAAAAAACAAAATTATTACCATAAATTCACTTTTATATGTTTATGATTTTCTCACATATCATAGTCTTATTAAATAAAATATGAGAACATCCATTTTTATTTTGTACACATGTACTTGTTTGAGAGAGGGAGAGATAGAACATGCATTTTAAATATATTTTATTTAAGTTATTAATTTCAAAGATGATATAAAAATAATATAATAGAAAATAGTACGTAAATATCATTATCGCAAAGTATGCATATGGCAAGATATAGCACCACATGTGACATGGTCTAGATAGCCAAGCACTGATTCAAAAATACATTTATATACGATCTCTCAAAAGTTAAGTTATGATCTAAATTGTATTATATAATATTATCAACTTGATCCAATAATTTCAGTATTATGACATGTATTTTTTAGTATATTTTGTATTAATTTGTGATAAAACTATCTCTGTCAATCCCAAAATTATGTTATTTTGGAAATTAAGAATTAATGAAAGGTATTTTAAGAATTTTATTTGTTTCTTTTTTTTTTTTTGGTAGAAGAATTTTATTTGTTTCTAATTACATGAATTTTGTTGAAATATTTTTAATTAATTCTCTTAGATCCTATAATACATAATTTCGGAGTTGATGGAAATATTTAATCAATTATTTTATTAATGCCACAAGGATATATGATAAAAAAATTATAAATGATGGAATTCTAATTAATTGTCAACGGTTTTGATTTTAATTTATATTTTATATTTTTTAAGAACAATTTTATTTTTCCTTTTGTGTGAACATTTGCGTTTCATTTTAAACGTTTGTTTCAAGTTTCAACCCTTTTTAAAACAGAGATTGACACGAACAGTACTACACTTAAAGCTTGTACCCCTTTTCTGCCAAAAATTCCCAAATCGAATTTAGTATCTCGTCTGTAAAAACGTGACTTAGAACAAAAGAAGTTACAAAGGGGCTCAAAGAAATCACCTAAATAGGGAAATTTAAAAACCTAGACGGGGACTAAACAAGAAGATAAGATTAAAAAAGAAAAGAAAAAGAGAGAGAGAGAGAATTCTAGATAAAGAAAACTCATATAATAGATCTGGACGAATTATTGGACAAAAAGGTACAAAAATATAAAAAGTTTTATTTTTAATATATTTAGTGTAATGATTGGTGTACACAAAAATTTCTCCTAACTCATAAAATTGTTTTTATTAATTACAGTTAAGCGATATACATACAAGCTTGCACGGACCAAGAAATTTTTATAGTGGGGGCGAAAAAAAATATTATTAAGAAAAGTACATACAATTATATATGAATGTAATATAAAAAGTTTGAAAGAGTTTTATTACAAAATTCAAGATCAATTCACTTAACTCTTGTTCTACATTTTTTCATATTATTAAATTTTTCTATAATTGAATATGTGCTAAAATTCAAAACAATTTCTTTTTCAATATATGTAATCAAAGAATCATCAAGAAATTGGTCTTCCATTCGATTTCAAAGTCTGGTCTTGATTATCTTCATGGCAGAGAAAGCTCTTTCAGTAGTTGCCGTAGAAAATGGGATAGTGAGTACAAGTCCAATTATTCTATCAATAAGAGGAAAAATGGTTGATTTTTCAGTTTTTGCCAGGCCTTGACATAATTCTGATGTAGTTAATAAATTATTCAAATCTGGATCTTTAAGAATATCGAGCACAAAATGTTGTAACTCCATCTTCAAGTGCAATTTTCTGTTATGTGAAATCACCAGAATAAAATTTATCTACAAGCTTGCATATATCATCATTATTAAATGACTTGTACTCATTTCTCGGATGTAAACTTATGCTCAAAGCAAATAATTCAACAGTATTATCATTGAATCTGCTATTCAATTCTTGCAATTGATAATCAGTTGTAGCACAAAAGATATTTACCATATAAAATTTTTCTGTAGAAAAATCACCTTGTTTATTTCGAGCACGACATCCCCTTCCAATATATTTTGCAGCCATATCTGGAATGTTAATGTCATGTTTTATGCAAAATTCTCAAACTTGAACCAAGAAAACATCCCAACCTGTCTCTCTTAAGTTCTGAAGTAACTTTTTTGTAGTTGAAACCAAGTGTAAAGTATTTGAAATATCTTGGGACTTTCATTGTAAAGCCTGGCAAAGAACTTCAGTAATAGTCATAATTTCTTTCATAAGGTGCATTATGATGACAAAATCAAAAGATGTCAATGATAAGTATGCATTATCTGCATCTCCACGTTGTGATGCTGTCTTTCCTTCATTAGAAATATTGTCAAGAATTTCACATACAACTTTAAACATTTTAAATAAATTGCATATAGAATTGTAATGAGAACTCCAACAAGTAGCTCCAGCTCGATGCAAAGTACCAATCTAATTAAGACCAACTCTTGATTCAAGTTCATTAATAGCAATCATTCTTGCAATTTCATTTGTTTGGGCAGCCTTAACTCACCATTACGCTTACAAGAAGAAGTAACAATATTAATTATGAAGTTCAATTCATCAAAAAAACTGATGAGCATGTTTTATTTTATTAGATGCAGCAACCAAGGAAAGTTGAAGCCGATGAGCTAAGAAATGAAAATAATAAGCATATGGACACTCAACGCAAATTAAAGCCGCAATCTATTCTATTCACCTCGCATATTGCTAGCTCCATCATAGCCTTGTCCTCGAATATTTTGAATGTCAAGATTATGGTGACGTAGAATGTTGAATATTTCTTGTTTCAAAGTTTTAGCACTTGTATCTTCCACATGTACAAGACCAAAAAACTTTTCCCGTATAAAACCATCTTCATCTACAAATCTCAAAACAATAGCCATATGCTCTTTTTTAGATACATCACTAGCTTCATCAACTATAGAAAAAACTTAGCATTGGAAATTTCTTCTCATATTGTGGCCTTCACCTTTTAAGAGAAAACATGAAGAATTTTCTTTTAATTTGAGGGGAACTATATGAAGCATTTGGAGGAGCTTTTTCTAACACAACTGCTGTAACTTCTTGGTTATAAGAAGCTAAAAACTTTATCATCTCCAGAAAATTGCCTTGATTAAGAGAATCTATGTTTTCATCATGATCTCTAAAAGCACATTCTTGAAATGCAAGCCATCTTGTCACATCAACAGAAACTTGTAGCCTTAAACGATTAGCTGCAATCTGTTCAGAAGTAAGCCTTTCAACCAATGTCTCAATATGTTGAGATTGGTTCATAAGATCACTACATGATCTTATAATATTTTTATGCATTGAGATAACATTTTTTCCAACATGACATAGAAAAGCACAATTTCCTCCATTTTTAACATTTTTTCAATTTTTGAAACCATCAACAACAGATATACTAAGTCCAAAATATCCATTGTCACTTGGTTTGCTAAATAAATAACAAGGCAAACTTATGTACCAAAAAAATAAATAAAAATAACAAGGAAAACAAAATGCAACACCTTTCGTTGGATAATACTCTAGCCAAGATGGAACAAATCAAACCAAGAAGAGAAAAAACGACGTTGATTCTTCTCTGGCCTAGAAAAAGGATAATTTTGAAGCTTGCACTGATATGGACCAAATTTAAGATAAGCACGACGGATTTCATCTTGTTGATTGATAGGATATTTCCATATTGAAAGGCGTAGTGTAGGATCTCTTTCCAATAAAGCAAAATCAACTTCTTTAACTACCTCTTTATTTTCAATTCTCGGAGACTTTGAAGGAGGAGTCTCAATATTTGACAACTCAACATTATGACTAGATGGGAACAAAAATTCAACTTTCTTTCTCTTAAAATAAGCATCAATTGTAGCATTCTTCCCCATAATAATCACCTACAGAGAGCATGAATTATTCTATCTCTTCCCTATAATAATCACCTATATTATTTTCATATATAAAATATTAAAATTAGCTGTAGGTTTTGAAATCTATATTTTCCTAAAGTCTCATATTTTGTGGGAAGTGCACATATACATAATTTGAACTATAATATAGGAAAATTTATCTCTTCAATTTTTTTTAAACAAAGCATGAATTGTAAAAACAGTTTAACAACCAGCTATAAATTAAATAATAGAAAAAAATTGGGTAAAATTTGTTTACCTTAACCCCAGTTGCCGCTACAGGAAAGAAATTGAAGCCAATAGTGATAAAAGAAATTGAAGCCATTAGTGATAAAAGAAATTATTATCTACCAAAATTCCTTGTTGACTAGAATGCCATTATCAAAATCAAACCAAAGAAATTCATGTTTAGAGAGTGAAAAAAAAAAGCGCTGCAATATGGTTAAAGTGGTAAAAGACCCAATTCTAAAAAATTTCAGTATCAATTAAACTATTCTCTCTAAACCAATAATCTACACAAAAGAATTTAATAATAAAAATATTATAGATAAATGATCCTGTTCTACAAAAAAATTAAATGCCAATAAATAAATAAAATAGATTATTATACTCATAATTGGAATTCCCTTTGTTAGCTTGTTCTTGGATATAGCATCAACCCTGTACATTCATAATATATATATATATATATATATATATATATATATATATATATATATATATATGGGGATACTTTTTCTGCAGCCGCTGTAGACTATGAAGCACTGACACTTTAAAAATTCTGGCGTGTCGTGTCC